CCATATTAAATATGTACCAATTATACCTCTACAATAATCCACTATGTGTCTGTAACTTTGTCATATAGTTCACAATGAATTAAGGGTTTCTCCAAACCAAATGTAAAGAGACTTATTTCAGTTAGGCTTTAGGTCACGTCTCGTACGAGGAATTGACCAATCCGCCGGGAGCAGACTTCCGTCTATTTGAGACCTAATCCCAATGATTTAAAAAAACATCTTATTTGACTTGCTTCATTTCTGCCTGTCAACAAATTTTGTATTCAATTAGCACGAAGAAGTCTGGAATTTTGTACACTTATTCGAACCTATTGACAATTCAGGTTATCAAATTTTCAGACTTCTGGTTGGTCAGAGTGGTCGGAAACGGACTAATTTCCAAATAGCCTTTCAAATTTCATAATTTAATATACCTTTTTCCCAGAACACATGAAAGTCGTAAATTTCGAACACTCGCTCGGTATATAGGTCAATATAAATAAATAAATATATATATATATATATTAATATATAGAACAAGGGGGGGGGGGGGGGTTGAAAAGACTATATTTCGTCGATAATGATCTAGTTTTTAATATACATCTAGACCATGTAGAAATCTGGTATTTTATAGGCTATTTCATTACTGCTCTATATAATTCAAGTTTAAAAAAATTAGACTCCTTGGTTCTAGGTGACCGTCTCATGGCATGAAATATATTAGAGAATAGAAATTGCATAGTTCCTTTCAAATGAAGCTGTTTCCGTGGCGTGTGAAGGGCGGCCATCAATCTATAAAAATTTGGTCGGGAATGGTTAATTTCAATGCTTCCTTTCAATTATTGTAATCGATTTTTTATATAATCCCATACCACATAAAAGTATTATATTTGGTATTCTGGCTTGAAACAGCTTACAAAGTAAAAGTAATAACTATCAAACTTTTAGATGACTTTAGTGGCCAGTTATTAGACATAAAATATAATTTTTATATTCCTTTTAAAATTAATAAAATAGGCGCAGCAATGTGTGTAGCGTAATGAGCGGTTGATATCACGAATATTCAATATTCCAAGAAGAAACTCTGGTTCTTTAGGCGACTAAAGCTAACCAGATTTTTTTGCGTGTGAACTTTCGAATTGCCTCAGACTCCCAATTACTCTTTCTGTCATATGCAGTCAACCCCACTATATACCTAATGTTCACCTCTGCTCTGTCAAAGGTCACAGCGTTATTCTGGCAAATGAACTAGCAGACCAAATAGCCAATACCGTTGCACCTTCTAACTTATGCACTGTCTTTTCAAAATCTTTCCATAAAGCGTTGTCTACAATAAAATAACTCAGATCACACATTATCTATCGATAGACCTATACATTATGGATTGTACAACCAACAATCACAGAAGATTCACTCCAAGAATTTTGATCTACATGCTTCCAAGAATCACATGAGTGCACTTCAACAACCATCCTAACTGGCCAATGCCATGCTCAAGTATACTCCGTTAAAAATTGAAAGAGGATCGAAACACCACCTTCTAAAATGAAGACCAAACAGTGGGTCATCTCTTCTTCATCTTCTTATCTTTCTGATAACAAAGAAATCAAACGGCCACACTCTATGAATTATAAATCTCAACTTGGCATCAATGTAAAATATCCCTAGAAATAAATCTGCTAGACACTATTAATATCTTTGACTTCCACAGTCATTGTAAATAAACTCAAAATGACTTAAGTCTTACTGACAACACGAGTGTTTAGAGAGATATTTTGAAGGCCTAAGGAACCTGGATTAATTATATATATAGTATAATATCACATAGTGTGTGGATGTTTTTATAAGAAGATAAAAATACTGGGTGTGTTTAATATTGGTGTTTGCATATTTAAATATTTTGGTGAGATTTCGTACATATTTTAACTTTTTATTGTTTTCTAAATTCACGACTAAAAACTAACTAATTAATCAATAAATAAAAATACCTTTTTAAAAGGAGCATTTAAGCATTAAAAAGGAAAAAATAAAATATTTTACCTTCTGTCATTGAGAAATTAGATGTATATGGGTAAAAATAAAAGCGGCGGAGGACGATCATATTGAGAGAAGAGGTAAATATTTAGTGAACTCATATAAAAATCACTAATCAGTTGCTACATATTAAATCACATTAGGTTCGAAATTCATTATGATCGTCCCCCGCCGCTTTTATTTTCACTCAGATACATCTAATTGCTCAATGACAGAAGATACAATATTTTATTTTTATTTTAATGCTTTAAATAAAAGTTTTTTTTTTAATAAAAGGTATTATTGTTCATTAATTATTAATTATCAAATGTTACACTTAAGGTGGTGAATTAAACTTTGTCAAAACGCCTTTTTACCCTTTCCCCTGAAAATTGATATACAACTATTTATTAAAATATAAGCATATCTTAGATAAATATAATTTATTAAATATTTACGATATTTCGATGAGGCTGATCACCTATTTTCCTCTAGGAATTCAAACTCCTGCCCATCATCCGTGTGATGCACGAGAAGTATTGTTCATATAAGTTGGAGTGACCGAACCATTTTGAATGAATAAATTATATAATCAAAAATAAAATGATATATCTATTATATTTAACTAGTTTTGTTTTAACTGTTGGTATGCTTGCGGTATATCTATTTTCCTATTAATACTGTTTTGATCATCTATAGATGCCCAGCTCTCCAGAAATAATCTTGGATGTTTGTCCTGTATGTTGCTGTATAAAACTATTGCATTTTCAAAATGGAATATGTCCTTGCTTGATTGCATGATCTACAAGTGAGAACAAAGGGCTATGATTTCTGAAGGCTGTTTTGTGTTGATTGAGTCTCTTTATTAGGGTTCTTCCAGTGTATGATGCCAATGTATGATGATATACAACTATTTATACATACTACTAGCCGATTGACCCCGGGTAGTATCGAAGGAGGAATTTCCCCAACGTATTCTTAACAAATGTAATACTACACAATTGGGAACATCTCACAAGTTTATATACATTATTATGTATCTTTTTTATTTCGACTTAGAGCGCTATGTCCCCCTAGGGACATTTGCACTTTAAAGGTAAACATAGAAAGAAAAGAAAAAAAAAGATATTTGAAATATCTACAAAATTAATATGCGAGTAAAATAGATGAAAAGATAAAAAATATGAACACAATTGAACTATGTACAAAGGGTTGGTATGCAAATTTATTATACAAGTGTATATCTTGAGATATTATATTTTTTTTACATTAATATACATTAAGTACTCTCAATGTCTATTAGGTAAGAATCCAAAATCACTTTATTAGGTACTGTTCAAAAAGAGCTACCTAGTTTATGATAATTGCAACAATGAATAATCTTCATACTTGCTAACGCGGGATTCGATCCCGGTTCATTGCTGTCAGGAATCGAGGGTGTTGCCCACTCGTCCTTCGAAATTAATAGATAAGAAAACAGAATCTGACATATACACTATTTTTAGGTTTATTAGGGTGAGTTTTAATTAGTCTTGGAACTGACTATCGTTTTAGACGCGTTCATAAAAGCGCTAAATTTATAGCATTTTATAATATAGTTGCGTATTTCTAGATATATTAAAATATATTTAAATATTATTGTATCAATTTAAGCTTTGATTCCCACATCAAGCAAATGAAAAATAAAATTTTAATCGAATGAAGCATTACTCGACCTAATTAAATAATATAGTAAATAAATAATATAGGCGAGAAATGATAAATATATAATAAGATACTTTCTAAATGGAATATTTGATGTAAAATAAATAGAGGGAGACGTATATAGTAACTATGCATTTATATTGATAAATTTATGTGTCAAAAATAATAAATAGTTAATTAGCTTTGCGTGTTTATTGATGTAGATTTCAAAATATTGCAATATTTTTCTCTCTTTCGAATACTTTATCATTTATACATTTACACCTGTATTAAAGGGGAATGTGTATTGAGATCTCGTTTCATTTATTCAATTAACTATCATCCTATATATACTATAATCTCTTTCCCTGAAGTAGAATGTTTGAACCATTACCTATAACCAAAATTGTCAAATTTGGGTAAATATATTTTAGATTATTCAGAAGTACTTTAAGTAAGAAATAAGAAATACAAAACCTTTTTTTTCTAAATATGTTATTTGTTCTATTTACACAAATACCACACATTTTTCTTGGTAGTTAATACAGGAATTTAACTCGAATCCAATTGTGTATTAACAAATGAAATATTTTCAAAAAGCGGTTTAGGAGTTCATTTTATTTATAATAGAAAAAAATATTTCATCAATGACTTTATAAACATATCCAAAAATAGAATTTTATCTTGGAATTTAATTTAAAATACAATATAACGCGGCTGATGATTGTAAAACGAAAATTGCAATTATACCGCGAATGTTTCTTTTAAACAAAAATCGAAATTTATTTTAAAGAGAAATAACGACTATTTCTAACTTTATTATTTTTCCGTTCGCCATTACTCTTCATATTTTTAACCCTTTCATACTTCATCCTTAAAGTTAGAAATAGTCGTTATTTCTCTTTAAAATAAATTCCGATTTTTGTTTAAAAGAAACATTCGCGGTATAATTGCAATTTTCGTTTTACAATCATCAGCCGCGTTATATTGTATTTTAAATTACTTTATATAATATTTACGAACGGAAAGATATGCCCAGGGTAGCCTAGTGGACTTGGCATCTGCCCGGTAAGCGGAAGGTCGTGGGTTCGATTCCCGCCCCTGGCCCCTTTATTTTTCCGTTCGCCATTACTCTTCATATTTTTCACCCTTTCATACTTCATCCTTAAAGTTAGAAATAGTCGTTATTTCTCTTTAAAATAAATTTCGATTTTTGTTTAAAAGAAACATTCGCGGTATAATTGCAATTTTCGTTTTACAATCATCAGCCGCGTTATATTGTATTTTAAATTACTTTATATAATATTTACGAACGGAAAGATATGTCCAGGGTAGCCTAGTGGACATGGCATCTGCCCGGTAAGCGGAAGTCGTGGGTTCGATTCCCGCCCCTGGACACTCTTATTTTTCCGTTCGCCATTACTCTTCATATTTTTCACCCTTTCATACTTCATCCTTAAAGTTAGAAATAGTCGTTATTTCTCTTTAAAATAAATTTCGATTTTTGTTTAAAAGAAACATTCGCGGTATAATTGCAATTTTCGTTTTACAATCATCAGCCGCGTTATATTGTATTTTAAATTACTTTATATAATATTTACGAACGGAAAGATATGTCCAGGGTAGCCTAGTGGACATGGCATCTGCCCGGTAAGCGGAAGTCGTGGGTTCGATTCCCGCCCCTGGACACTTTTATTTTTCCGTTCGCCATTACTCTTCATATTTTTCACCCTTTCATACTTCATCCTTAAAGTTAGAAATAGTCGTTATTTCTCTTTAAAATAAATTTCGATTTTTGTTTAAAAGAAACATTCGCGGTATAATTGCAATTTTCGTTTTACAATCATCAGCCGCGTTATATTGTATTTTAAATTACTTTATATAATATTTACGAACGGAAAGATATGTCCAGGGTAGCCTAGTGGACATGGCATCTGCCCGGTAAGCGGAAGGTCGTGGGTTCGATTCCCGCCCCTGGACACTTTTATTTTTCCGTTCGCCATTACTCTTAATATTTTTCACCCTTTCACACTTCATCCTTAAAGTTAGAAATAGTCGTTATTTCTCTTTAAAATAAATTTCGATTTTTGTTTCAAAGAAACATTCGCGGTATAATTGCAATTTTCGTTTTGGAATTTAATATTCACATCTCGATAAAAAAAACAATGGTTGCCTGTAAAGTCGGTTTTACGGGCGAAGATTTTACGTGACAACGGTAGAATATCTATTGATATGAATATAATTAAATTGCACAATAGGAACAAGGAATTGAATGAAAATAAGAATTGCACAAATTTTAACTATAGAAATATATTTTGTTTACTAAAACATTGTACATGTAAACTTAAACTTAACTAATTCCTATTTGAGTGTTTAAGGAAGTGTTTCTGCTGTAATGTGTCTTGCGAAAGTCAAGTCGATAGTTGTTCCTTTTAACGTAGTTGACTTAGAAACGTTTGATACGCAATCAAGATTATACGTATTTTTCATGAAATTAAGAAACGAGTTGTCAGGCTTTACGTTTTTGTTAAAATCACCACACAGAAGAATCGGTATACTAGAATCAACTTGCACGAACGGTGGCACGTACTGGCTGTTGTGAATGTACGGACCGAGTCCTTGCCATAGTAACATTCCAATATCCTGCATACTAGCTCCTGGATGAATATATACAGCACCGAGTATAAACTTGAAGCTAGTATTAGCGGCGAAGCAAGTAACTTCAGTCATGCACATGTCACCCTTGGTTTTAATGACACGAGGTACGTCTGTAATCGCAACTTGGAACACTTCCGCCGTAGATGTCGATGATAATTTACGATAGATCGCCACTCCACCAGCCGCGTTGGTATTTGAAAATCAAAACACTTATTCAGATCGAAGGTTCAAATTTTTGCTAAATAAATTTGAAATTAAATAAAATTTGTAATTGTAAATGATGAAGTTGAAAATTAAAACATTTACTTAAATTAGATGTTAAAATTCTTGCCCAACACAGTTTAAATAAAGTTTTCTTATATCTGCCATTTTTCTTTATATTTGTAATTTTAAAGAATCAATTCGAAAATCAAAACATTTATTCAGATCGAAGGTTCAAATTTTTGCTAAATAAATTTGAAACTATTTAAAATTTGTAAAATAATAATAAATAAATTAATTAATTTTAAACTAATAATTTACACCACACGTGTGAACTTGTATTATGACGCTTTCTTGTTTTTCCAACGCCAAGAACGTTCGAGAAAGACAAAGACAGAGACAAGCATGCGCCGATTCAATGCGCCTAATTCTCTAGCGCTGCGCGCGCAGCACTCTCGTTCGGTGACTCATCGTAACGTTACCGGGCGTTACACTTTTTCATAAGTGACTCCCAGCCGCAACCTAATTTAAGACGTTGTCACGTCAATAAATCATTGCTGAGAGATATTGTGTTTTGTGAGTTTATGAGAATGATTTTTCTTCAAATTCAAATTAGTGATACATAATGCGCATAGTATTTTAACGAACCTTTTTTCTCTTAATATATAAATTGTTCAACATATTATATTGACAATATTTGCATAAAGTGAAATTTTTACCATAGTTTCATATATAACTCATTCCAGATTATTTTTCACAGAGTTCTTTAAAACTATATTCAAAGAAATTACCTTCTGCGAATATCAATATTTTAAAGAATACTTTTCTTTCAAAAATAAGTCAGGGAGTTACTTGGAAACGGCTGAGAACGGGCTAACAAAATTCCCCAAAGATGGAGCGCAGGTGCGACAGTAACCTGATGATTGAGATGGCCGAGCCTCCAGTGACAGTATCTGTCCCGGCGTCGACGAGGATCAGGTCTGATCAGATAGCCAACCGTTCCATGGGCTCTGCCCCCTCGGATCTCTTAACACCGCGGATCTTCCCTCAAATCCAACTTCCTTTCTTGTTATTTCTCTGTTTTATATTCTTACTTCTGCTATCCTTACAAAAGAAAACTTCTGAAAACGACAAGAAACCGACTGCTGAAGAGAACTCCAGTAAGAAATGTAAGCTTTGTAACTCGAACTATCAAGAACGACTGAAGTGGCCCGTTCACCAGCCTATGAGCTACTATGGTCTTAAATGAATATCTATAGCGAAATCTGAAGTAAATTTTTACCCCTTTGCTGTTTAGGCTGTTCATTTATTTGATAGACAAGTCATTTATAGTTTATTTGGCACATGAGCCGCAGGATTGGATTTATTTATATATAGAAAATTGTAAAACTGAATGATTAACAAATAAACTGCGCTTCTCAAATTTTGGCTAGGACACGCAGTGAAGAGAATAATAATGTTGATAGATTTAACACTTAAAATTCTATGCAACCATAGTTGTTTAATGCAAATTTTCATTTTTTAATATTATGCAACCTATTCTTATTCTGTACAAAACATAGAGAGCTATGTAGTACAGTTTGATGGGTAAAAAGGTGTACATTAACGGAAAATCAAAAGTTGAAGACAGTAGAATAAACTTATACCATCGTTACTGTGATGAAAATATTGGATAGGGTTGGCTCATCAGTGGGAAGCCAAGGCATCCCAATATTTTCCATCGCAATAAGAAAGGCAGAAGTTTGTTTTATTTGAAAGAGAAACAGTCGAGTTCAATGGTTGTGTTTCCTATACATATTATCGCGTTGTTACCTTATATTCAAAGAGAAATATAGCCATCATACACAGCATATCAGTTATGTCCCTACAATCTGTATTCCAAAAATCCCAATGAATCGACTTAAGCAGAATGTCGTCTAAGAGTTTGAACATATCGAAGCTTCAAATACAGGGTCTGTTACTGTTAAGCAGGAGCGCATGTTATATAGTTAATAAAGATATCATTCCACTTTACTCTAAGCTTTAGTATATGCTTTTGATAGAGCAATAATTGTACTTCAAATACAGAAGAAAACGAGCATCTAGAATTTCTAAAGATATTCTGGAACGAAACAAAGCCAGCCCACATATGAATACATTGTAATATAATTTATTAATTTATAAATTTAATTGTGCCATATATCGATACTATTTGAAACATTAAAATATTTGCAATGTGTTTTTATTTATAATAATATCATCAAATATAATCTCTACAGACCTTACACTGCAATGATAAAAGTTATTGGATAAGAGGGATTGGCTCATCAGTGATGAATCCTCTTAACGTTTTCGCCAAATAAAAACTAATTTATTAATCTTACCATTATCTATGGGAACTCCAACAGAGAGAGAGAGAGAGAGAGAGAGAGAGAATCCACTCTACAGTCCAGACCTAAATCTCTGTGGCTATTACTTGCTCAAGCCGTTCAAGAAGAGAGTCGAAATCATATGATGGGTGAAAGGATTACAGAGACTATCTGCATCAATATAATATAAATATTATGAACTCTGTCGAATAATACATGTAAATATGTAAATAATTAACTCTAAGTTCTAATTTGTTTGTTGTTTTGTCTGTTTCCTCTGTAATAGGCGCAAATATATCGATATCGCGCTTGGTTGATTAATAAAATGAAATCAATAGACAAGATTTTCTTTATTGACAGAATTAGGGTTCCGACCAAATTGTTTGAGTCATGAGCTACTATATATAATAACGGCAAATAAATATTTTTGAATATCTTTTTTCATTAACTTATGTCTAGAAACTAACACCTACCCACATATTCTCATGCCCAGCAATGGCCGTAGCCTTGCGAAAAATTGACATGGATCCAGAGCAGCAACTTTACACACCCAAGATAGTGGACAATACGACTGCTGTGATTGAGATACATGGATACATCTGAGACTCTTCGTTGGACACGAACAACATTAACTTCTGCCTAGGAACTAACACCTACCCACATATTCTCATGGACAGCAATGACCGCAGCCTCGCAGAAAATTGACATGTGCCCAGAGCAGCAGCTTTACACACCCAAGATAGTGGACAATACGACTGCTGTGATAGAGATGCATGGAGACATCTGAGGCTCTTCGTTGGACACGTGTCGGAAAGACTGACAGGTCCGAAAGCTAGAGAATAAAATTTGAACAAGAAACTTGGCCCTGGAGACTTTATTTTCTTTATAATATTAGATATATATGTCTGTGCTCCTTTGGACGGATTAAATATATGATGCATGATTTTGAGCGAAGAAATTCTGCATAAAATACTAATTAAAAAAAAACGATTAAATAAATAATGAAAATATTTAAATAATTCATTTTCTACGTTTCTCAGTTACCCGCTCTCACCCATTCCAATGTACATTCAAAACTTATGATGTTTAAATTTACTGATTTATAAATATCTTTATACCTCTGAGAAGAACGCTCAGCTGTTTATTATCAAATACGTCAAACTGGAAAAACAAAAATAAATGTGACAAAT